CTGGTGGGCACGGTGACCCCCGGCAGCACTCAGAACCTGCTGTGGTGGGTGTAGCACAGGGCCCAGGTGCTGAGGGAGGCCCCTGTTGGGGGACTGAGGTCCCTAGTGGGACCATGGAGTTACAGGGACACCCCCCCATCCTCGCCACTGACAAGCAGCTGTCCCAGCGCCTTGGCATGAGGCCTCTTCCTGTGTCATCCCACTGTGCACCCCACCAGGACCGTGCACCTGCCCTGGACACTCGTGGCCGGCCCTACGTGCAGGGAGCTCCGGAGCTGTCAGGTGGCCTGGAATCCCCAGCCACGTGCCCTGGACTCTGGTGGAAAGGCTGGGTTTGACAAGGCATCCAGAAGTGGGCTCAGGGGAAACTCCTTTGAGGAAGAAGGTGCAAAGCAGGGGCTGCAAGCCCAGGGACCCCAGGGATACTGAGACCAGGGACTCGGTGACCGGGAGGCCCATGCCCGTCCTGAAGGTGCTCACATGCAAAACAGGAGTGCCAAGCACACCTCGGGGGAGACAGGCCAGCTGTCAGCTGGAGCAAAGCAGAGGCCGAGGGCAGCAGCGCCCAGCGGTCTGGCTGGTGGCCTCTGCCGGGTCTCCTCCCTGCTCCTCTATGTCTTTCCTCAGAGCGGGTCCTCTTCCTGATTCTACAGAAGAATCGGGAGCCTTGGGGTGTCGGCCAGGCCCTGCCTCTGGGGAGGGGCAGGGTTCAATGACCTAGGAGACAGACAGACTTGGGCTAAGCCTCTGCCCACTGCTGGTGGAGCGCTCTCGGGATCTTTCCTCCTCCATAAAACAAGCACCTGTGTGTGGGGCCAGCAGGTGACGTGGTGGTTAAGGCACTGGGTTTCCACCTGGCAGACCATGGCTTGAGTCCCAGGCCCAGACGCTTGAAAATCATGCCAGGTATGTGTGCTTGTGTGCCCAGAGAACGGAGGAGAAGGGATTGTGGCATTTCTCACTTTCTCCTCTGTCTCTATTTAAAAAAAAAAAAAAAAAAAAAAAAAAAAAAACACCAACACAACCCAACAAACAAGGACCCGTGTGTGTTAGCTGTTGAGTGTAAAGGCGACTCCGAAGCTCAGTGGCTTAAAACGGCAATGATCACCCGTTACTACCCATGGTTTCTGTGGCCTGGGAACCTGTTAGTAGCTAGGCTGGGGGGCCTGCCCAGACCCTCTCTCGAGCTGCAGCCCAGGAGCTGGCCGAGGCTTCAGTCTCATCTGGTGGCTTGACTGGAGCAGGAGGATCTGCCCCCAAGGAGGCTCACACGGCTGTTGGCTGGAGGCCTGGCATCCTCTCGCGGGCCTCTCCCTGCAAGGGCTGCTCCAGCGTCCCCACTGGGCAGCAGCTCCTCCCTGAGAACGTGATCCCGGAGAGCCAGCACGCCACCAAGTCTTTGGTCATCGAGTCCCGAGAGGCACACCCTTTGGCTTCCACAGTATCATCCTGGTCACCCAGATCAGACCTTTTGGGGTGGGTCCCAGGGGCTGGATAAGGGTGTGAGCCCCGGGAGATTAGGGTCAGGAACAGGTGGCAGATGTCAGAGGCGGGCTGCCAGGTGCCCTGCCTTAACTCTTTCCTCACCAGTAAACAGAACTACCTCCCTCCCCTCAGTTGCTAGGTCTTCCCAACACGGGCTGTCCAGAAGAGCTGTGGGACACAGCCTGGCACTTACCAAGTGCTCACCAGTGGGCAGCTGTCATGGCGCCACCATCGCCTCCAGCCAAGGCCAAGCCACCCTCCGTGAGCCTGGTGGACCAGTCAGGGACAAGACACCCCTTCTTCCAATGAACAGGGACAAGGAACAGGCATCGTTTTTCCTCCTTCTTAAGGTTTTAAACACCTAATTTATTCCATCCATTAGATAGATTTTGTAGATTTAATCATTTTCACAGTTGGTGGCTCATTGGATACTCAAGATAAACTCCAAATGAAAGTATAATGGTGAGGACAAATGAGTTTTCACACCACAATGGCAGAAACTTGCTTGGGAAGAGAGTTTAAGAGGAGCAGAAATACATACAGACACAATTTTTTTTTTCCCCGGCAACTGCTTTTGCTGACTCTAGTAGGTTACCACAGTTAATTTCCCCAGTTTTGTTCATCTGTAAAATTGCATAAAAGTGACATTTTTGTGCTCATTATAGCAACCGCTGATTTATGGCTGGTAAATGAAGAGCGGGTCCCTCTTTTGCGGGACTCTCCGCGTGGCTCTAAGTGCCCATGAAATTGCTTGTATAATGTAGTTTAAATCCAATCTCAGAGAAAGATTCCCCCGTTGGCCAAAGTGACATTTCCATTCTCCACACCGAGTTTATTTTAGGCCACTTAGGGGAGAGCTGCCCCAGGCAGGGTCAGGATGGGGGCCCTGGTGGGCTCCCTCTGCCTGGCCCAGGTTAAGCCAGAGGGCGGAGGGGTGAAGCCCCCACCTGAAGGGGTGCTCCCTGCTTCCTGCTGCTTCCCTGTGGCCGTGCTTTTCCCCCCTCCTGCCTCCTTTAAACCTTCCCTGGCGGCCCAGTGCCCCCGGGCAGGGCTTCCCCCCACCGGCCCTGCTGGCCTTTGGGGCTTGACCACTTCCTGGTTAGGGGCGGTGGTGAGGGCTGTCCCAGCACTGTGGGGCATTTAGTGGCATTCTAGCCCCTCCTCGCTAGATGCCGGGGGCACTCGTCCAGCTGTGACGACCTGGCGCTGGGCGTGGCTGCCAGCCTGCTCCGCACAGTGAGGTCCGACAGCACAGACCCTCCCGGGCTCCTGCTCTAGCTGGATAAGTGGGAGTGCCCACCCGGATGGCATTTCCTGCCTCTGGCCCTTGGCCCTGCGGTCTCTCTCCTCCCTCCCAGTCGGAGTTGCAGTCATGGCCTGCAATTCTCAGATTGGCTGGGAGCCCTGGAGGGGGCTGAGGACTAGACCGGGAAGAGGGACAGTGGTAAGGCCAAGGGGAAGAGGCAGGTGGACACTCCAGCCCCTTCCTCTCTGGGGGGGTCCTCTGCCCCGGGCAGACAGGAGGGCACGGGGACTCGGGCCTGGAGAGGGCCTGCTTCTGCTCCCGCCGAACACTGCACACGACTCGATGAGCCCTCCCGGCGCCCTGGGAGACCATGCTAGCCACGGCATCCGCTCTTACAGACGAGGAGACCAAGGCTCTGAGCAGACCTGATCTCCCGGCACCAACCATGCCCTTTACCCCCGCTGGGCCCTAGGGCGCTGTCAGTCCTCGAGGGCACCCTGCAGATCTGATCAGTACCTCAGTACACAAGGGGGGAAGCTGAGGCTCCGCTGGGCCTCCCAGCCCTATGAGCAGCTCTGCCTGACCCAGCCAGCTCCACAGCCTGGGGTAGTTCCACCTGTCTCATGTGGCCCCCAACACCACCAGCGCTCTCTGCCCACCTCCTCGGCCCTGGGAAGGTCGTGGCTGCACCTGGGAATGTCTCAGGACTCAGGAGGGGCTCTGGATGGGGGCAGGGATCTGCCATTCTGCCCCTTGGCCCCCACGCTGGCCTTGCAAGTGACAGGCAGACACAGAGAGGGACCAAGGGACCGGGCAGCCAGCAGAGGAGAGGCCTTTCTTCTCACCTGCTGCGTGGCTCTACAGGTTCCACCCGGGGCACAGGCCCCCTGCCGCAGCATGCTCCACCCAGCTGATGCATGCTGGGGGCACTGGCAGGTAGCCATCATCCCACTTTACAGACAGGAAAGGGAGGTGCTGAGAGGGTAAGAGCAGGGACAGAGTGGGGTGGCAGTCAGAGAGACGGCACCAAGTGGCCCAGAGTGTGGAGTCACAGAATGCTTGTGCTCAGCTGGGGAGTGGGTAGCCTGGCACGACCATTGGGCAGGCTGGTGGGCATCGTCTTCCAAAGCCGGACAGAGGCCTGCCTGACCCAGCAGTTCCACTCTGGGTGCATTCTGGCAGAATTCAATGTAGCGCTGTTCGTGTCTGCCCCGAACTGGTGACCCCCAAATGCCATGAGCCTAAGGAAGGATGGGCCCAGCGGTGGCGGGTGGGCAGCAGTGCCGGGAGCTCGCAGCCGGCTGTGGGCTCAGAGCCCGAGCTGACCGAAAACACTTGGTACACCCGTGCCCAAGAGCCTGTGAGCCGGAAGGGGAGGGGTCGCAGTGCAGCGAGGCCTTGGGGTGCCCGTGTTGCTCACTCTCATGCACACACATGTGCTCTCTCTCTTAAAAATACACTTAAAAAAAAAAAGCAGTGGGGCCAGCAGGTGGCATGGTGGTTAAAGTGCTGGACTCCCACATGGCCAACCATGGTTTGAGTCCTGGACCCGGTGCTTGAAAACTCACACTGGGCACGTGTATGTGCATACACACGTTCATGCCCAGAGTCCCAGGGGGAGAATGGAGGAGAGGGATCCATGTAGCCATCCCCCCTGGGGAGTGATTTCTCAATTTTCCTCTCACTGTCTGCCTGTTTCCAGTGAGCTCATGTGCCCCATGGCAAAAACGCGACTGGGCGCGCACGCGCACACACACACACACACACACACACACACGCAGTAGGAAAGATGAACGCAGTTTGGTGCAGTCACACAGGTTCCACACAGCCATGGGAACAAACTCCCACCGCGCACAGCTGCCTGGGTGACTCCTGCACACGGTATTAAGCGACAGAGGCCATTAGGCAACTACGTGCCGTCGCCACGGGCAGCAGCAGGCTCAGCTGGTCGTGATGTTCAAGTCGGGAGGTGGTTAACTTCCCTGTGGTTGGGCACAGGGAGGGACACCGGACTCTCTAGGCAGTGGTCAGCTGCTAGTCCCTTGACCTGGGTGTTGTCATACACATGTGTTCTGTGAACGTCCATCGGGCTTATGGAGGTTTACTTTGTGTACTTTATACTCTGGGTAAAAGTTTTCCAGTTTAGAAGGGATGGATGGAGGAAGAAGTCCGGGAAGGGGGGGGTTCCGGAGCCCTGGGAGCCTTGGCGGGGGCGTGGCCTCGGCCTCCAGGGGGCGTGGCCTCACCTGCGTGCGTTCTCCTCCCACAGGTGAGACGGTGGCTAGCTCCATGCATTCATCCCGCTACCCTAGCCCGGCCGAGCTGGACGCCTACGCCGAGAAGGTGGCCAACAGCCCGCTGTCCATCAAGATCTTCCCCACCAATATCCGCGTGCCGCAGCACAAGCACCTCAGCCGCACCGTCAACGGCTAAGACACCCAACTTCAACATCCCATC